TCATGAAAATTAGCAGCTTACAGAAAGAAACAACAATTGAAAAGATTTTGCAGCAGACATAAGGAACTGTCCCACTGACTGTAAATGGATTTTTCATATGTGTATGAACTTTTAAAAACTCTCCCCACTTATCTATACATATATACACACATACACATGCATTTAACTATTTTCATTTGATTTATTCATATGTTGTATTTGGATTGCATACAAAGCCTATAGAAAAAGTGATGACTGAATGAAGTATAAGAAAAATAATCCCACCCATATATCTCTCCTATTCCCTTCCTTTTCTTTCCTTCCTGGTAATGAAAACAGGCAAGGCTGTGACAACATTTTTTATATGATATTGCACACAGACAACTATTCTTTCAACTTGCTCTTTTAAGTGTCACTCTAAATGTATCAGCATAATGTTCCACTTTATTATTGTTTTCTAAAAATTCCACAGTGAAATGTTGGCTACTCTGCCTTAAAAAGTGAGCTTATGTTATGTTCCCATGTGATCCAAAAACATAATCATGTCTACATTTTAAAAATATTGTAAAGGGAAGAAAAGTTTGAGTTGTTAAGTACACAACACTGCTAAATCAAGCTTTCAATGGATGCTGTTTGTGCAGTTTTTCCAAAAATAGTCAACCCATAAAGGCCTGCAATAAACCACTTACTTAAGGGTCAGTAAGTAACAGCCTCTTCTGCTACAGCTGCTAATTCAAGGGTACTTCCAGACGGAAAGCTTTTTAATACCACTCAGTAATTGCTATTGTGTTGTAAGCTACATGTAGAATTTCAATCCATTTTCAACACTTTATGAGTGGTTTCTTAAATATGTGAGGAATATGTGTTAAAGCATCCTTAATATACTTACATGGTATTTTTTATTAAAGACAAAACAAACAAAAAAACAAAAAACTTCAGTGCCACTTAAAAAATGAATAACAGAAGAAAATAACAGAGTTGAAAGGGACCTTGGAGGTCATCTAGTCCAACCCCCTGCTCAGGCAGGAAACCCTGTACCATTTCAGACAAATGGTTGTCCAATCTCTTCTTAAAAACTTCCAGTGTTGGAGCATTCAAAATTTCTGGAGGCAGGTTGTTCCACTGATTATTTGTTCTAACTGCCAGGAAATTTCTCCTTAGTTCTAGGTTGCTTGATAAATTTCCATCCATTACTTCTTGTTGTAAAAATTCACACAGTTAAAGTGGGACTGATCAGAAAAACAGTTGAGAAGATATGCTCAAGTAAAGGAAGTCAACAAGGGAATTCAAGGTCCTGAAATGTGGTTTGCATCAATCAAAACCACATAAGATATTGAAATGAACCACACATTCAATCTGTTGTTCCATTTCTTCCAGTACCAGTGGAATTCTGTGAACTTTGAAAACATGTGACAGCAGTAAGGAAAGGATTTGATATTATACACAGGCAGCATAGATTTTTTTCCCCTGCTACTTTTCCCTGCTTTGATACTCAGTTTAATTCTCAGTATTTCTCTTCTATAAGTCAGTTTGAGTCCTTTGGTACAAAAATTACATTAAATAAATAAATAAAATAACATTTCTCCATTCTGCAGATATATGACCAGATATAGGGTCCATCACATTTGAAGAGTGGCTATACCACAAAAGCACATCTTTTGCATGTAAATTATCCCAGATGTATCTGCAATTAAAACTAAGACAGTAACTAATGCTTAGTTCATACATCATAATTAGCTATGTTTTCAAAAGTGCAGCAATTGGGTTCATCATAACACTAAATCAGAACCACATGATGTATTAACATAATGTGGGAACCAGTTTATGAACAGACATATTAGTTTACATGAATAAAGTCCAATCTAATGATGGAAAACCACTTATATTAATCTTACAATGAAACCAAGGGCTCATACAAACAAGAATCTGGGAATGAAAACAAACATTTGGGTACTGTGCAGATAAGGGGAAAATGCAGTTAATGGAAATCGGCAAATTATTAAAATTGATTAATCAAGGCAGGAATGTATTTGAAGAAAGAAAGTAACTTAATGAAATACACACTGTATCACTTGCAAGTTAAGTGTATAATGCATAATGTGTAGCCTTGTATGGGGGGGTGTCACAGGGGCCCATGCAACCATGGGGCTGATTGGCCCCATGACAACTTCTCCCCCACCTGTATTAACAACTATTAACCTTCTCATCTTGGAACTCTCTATCTTTTGAAATGTTATAATGTTTTATAATTTTAGAAAAAAATAATCTTAAATTATTTCATGTTTAAAGCTTAATTTTATTGATTAAATTGTAAATTGCACAGAGGGGGATGGGCGGTTGAGAAGCATAAAATTTAAATAAATAAACAATTGCTTGACTGGTACCAAAATATGGTTCCTGGGAATTCTGGGGGGGGGGGTCATACAGACCTAACATATCTGAAGGCTACCAGGTTGGTAAACCTGGATTAGCAGATAGCATCCTGTTTGGTGGGTGGACAGCCTAGTATTCCAAGATTATTTTGCTTTCTATTGTTGTTATTGTAACAGGCTTTACCAGAACTACATCGGTGAACATATGTCATCTCTTGCTGCTGCTGATTAGCTGAATCAGTATTCCATTTCATTAATGCATAATGAAAGCAGTTAATAGGATTGTGCTTCTCAGCTCTGAATAGGAATGTGATGCTAATAAGATGAGAGGTCATCTCTCCTGCTAACAAAGGAAGAAACTGTGGACAATACTTTATCTGGGCAACTCGTGGCAAACAGAGTGTTTTTAAATGTTTTTCGAACCCAGTTGCCATTGTTATTTGACCATTTTATTACCTGTGTTTGGTTGTGACATTTTAACTCAGCTCATCTGAGGCTCATTTTGTCTGCCTTTTAAAAAAGACAGCTATTATCTGACTAACCTTTTGTGAAGTGGCAAAGTTTTCAGTGGTCTAGCCTACCGCTTTCACCAACTACGAGGGCACGGTTGTTTCAAAGATGATATTCTCCTCTGTACACTTAAAAATAGTTTGTTGATTTATTTAGTTATTTTATTACATTTAAATGTTGCCCATCTCACTATCAAGCGACTAAGAAAAACAGTTTGTATCACTTACATTTTCTTAACACAGAAATGATTAAAATTAAATATATTGAATATAACTATTAATGTATTACTCTGATCAATTGGATAAATATTTTATGTGCATACAGTATCTGTGTGAGCAAGATTCCGGTATGTGTTGCTATTTTACATACACACAAACACACAACACTCCATGCATATTCAGTCTATTTAGATACATAATGTACAATGTGAGCAACGTCCCTGAAGAAAATAAGGGAGAAGTGAAGATAGTAGGCATTGTGTAAATTGATGACTTTTTGATTTTACAAACCTCATCACATTTCTTATCCTATTTTAATACTGATTATATATATTATATACATACAAACAAGATCAGAGTTGGCAATCATATATATGATGACCTTGTGGCCCTTCTAGTCTTTTGCCTCAAAACATATTTTACGTTTCAGGGCACAATGTATGAGCAAATAAAGGGCACCCCCATGGGGTCACCTATTTCGAGTGTTATTGCTAAGGCTGTATTGCAGCAGTTGGAACACGTAGCGATGACCCAATACTGCCCAAAGTTTTGGGCCCGCTACGTTGACGACACGTTCATCATAATTAAGAGGAGTCAAAAAGCTGACTTTGTGGACACACTTAATTCGGTGTGCGTGGACCTGCAATTTACGGAGGAGGAGGAGTATCAGGGTAAGCTGGCATTTCTTGATGTCTTAGTCCAACGCCAGCCAGATGGGACCTTAACCACCCGGGTCTATCGCAAACCCACGCACACCGATAGAATTTTGCATTACAACAGCAATCACCCGGTGGCCCACAAAGTCAGCTGCATTAGAACCCTCTTTAAGAGGGTGGACTCCCACTGCAGTACAGCTGAAGCTAGGATGGAGGAAAGAAAACATCTCCTCCGTCTCTGTAAGTACAATGGGTACCCCATGAAATTCATCAGATGCCACAGTACTCTGTCCAAACCATCCCCAAATCCATCAAGTGGGATGGTACCATCACAGACGACCCGTATTACCCTCCCTTACATTAGCAATGTCTCGGAAGCCACCACCAGACTATTGGCACCCTATGGTGTAAGGGTTGCACATAGACCTGACCGGACGTTGCGTTCCTGCATTATGAGACCAAAGGACCCACTCCCCATAGTTGAGAGATCTGGAGTCATTTACAGGATTAACTGTAATGACTGCCCAGGCAATTATGTGGGAGAAATTTCCAAAAGGGTCGGAACAAGAATGCAGGAACACAAGCTGGCAATAAGAAGAGGTGAGCAATACTCCCAAATACTCATTCACATGGAGGAGTTTGGTCATAAATTTAATTTTGACGACGTAAGGGTGGTTGCCAGTGACACCTCCAAGAGTGGTAGGTTACTCAAAGAAGACTGGTTTTCAGACAGCATGTCAATCAATTGACATGTGGACCTACGCCCAGCATATCAGACCATGAAAGCGTGGGAAATGTGTAGACGACCTGGGAAAAAACATCTGAGTAACAAAAACTCTGGGTGTCCATTAGATGAAACTGGCAACAAAGAAGAGAGACATCTACAATCTAGACCCCCTTTAGTTAACGATTTGTGTGTACATCCGCCGTTAATTAAGAAATTTATTGATATTAGTGGCCCATCCTCGGATGCCCCAGACACCTCCTTGCATTATACCTAATACTCAAGAATAAGAACAACAAGTGTCCCAATTAACACAAAACAAACTCGTTACCCCAGTGACCATATCGGCTCCACTGTCCCCAATGGTGCCCCTGCTACAACACACCTGGTCGCCGGTGCCTTGGAAATGGATAGGAATTCAAAAAAGGCAATACCTACTACGAGCGACGGCAGAATAACACCTTTGCTATGCGGCCACACTGATCGGAGCCACCGAGACAGAGACATGCCTTCAATGGATGTACAGAAGATCAATACTTACAGCCGCCCCATTATGGGGGTGGTCACGCGCTCCCGGAAAGCGGCGTTACGGAAGACTGAAAGAGAGACAACCGGATTGAGAGTTGCACCGGATGGCACGAAGGAGGAGCACGGAGGATGCGATATGCTGGGAACAGTGGGGGGAAATAAAAGTGTGGATGAGATTGGTGGCAAGGATTGTGGGGGGATTGAAGGAGTGACAGGATTGAAGAATGCAAATGAGTGCGATGCATGCCGGAGGAGTGGAGGAAAGAAACGTCCCGAGGAACACAGGAAGAAGAATCAACTCAATAGTGCAGAGGACCCTTTAATTTTGAGAAACACACGTTGCCTATATGACTCAGGAACTAAAGGGAGGGGGGAAGTGGGTGGTTGTGTGGATGTAAGTAAGAGCTATAAGAAAGAATCACTGAAGGCTGTAAGTGAAGCAAGGATTAGTCGGCTTGGACCTGTTACAAGGTCCATGCATAGAGTTTAGGCGTGGCTAAGCAGGTTTCCTCACTAGCTAGCTTATATTCTGACAATGATGGCAGGTGCTAGCCATTGAAAGCTTGATTTTATTTATTAAAACCTTGGTGTTTTATTTCCTGGTGATCGCTTCCTTTTTTACTGAAAAATATATATATATTATATATATATATATATATATATATATATATATATATATATATATATATATATATATATGTAGGTCCCACGTAAAATTGGAAGTGTCTTGGCGACGTTTCGACGAAGTCCCATTCGTCATCTTCAGGCTGGTGCTTTCAGCTTCGTGCCTCGAGCAGCAGTGTGTGGTCTTGGCTGTTTCTTCCTTTTAACTGCCAGTGGAGGTATGAACTGATTGGGTGGGAGCTTGGCTGTGTTCTGATTGGGTGGAGGTGTGTTCTGATTGGTTAGGGGCTTGGCTGTGCTCTGATTGGCTGGGGGGTTGGCTGTGCTCTGATTGGCTGGGGGGTTGGCTGTGCTCTGATTGGCTGGGGGAGTGTTCTGTTTGGTTGTGCTCAGGTTAGTCTGAGTTGCAGAGGGATTCAAGATTTTGGGCTGCCCTGCCATTCCTTGGCTTCGTGTTCGTGGTCGTGCTTCCTCTTCATGGAGGGTGTCAGTTTGCTTCATGTATGGATTGGGGGGGTTTAAAGTGGCTAATGATGCAGCTGTGGTCTGGCTTCTGGTTTGTGGTCGTGCGTCGGTGTGTGTTTGGGTTTGTTTTTTGCGTGGATGTTGGTGGTGACCTCCTGTGTGGTTTTTGTGAGTGTGGGTCTGGTATCATTTTTTGTGTTAGGGAGTCGTTTGTCAATGAGGGCGGGTTTCCAAATGGCTGGTAGGCGGGAGGTATCATCTCGCTTGTTCATGCTGTGTGGGCGTTTTTCTATCTCGATGGCTTCTCTGATTATTCTGTTATTAAAATGTTCACTTTTGGCAATGGTTCTGGTATTTTTAAAGTCAATTTCATGTCCTGTGGCTTTAAGGTGTTGGACCAGGGAAGATGTTGGTTCCTCTTTTTTGACTGAGTTCTTATGTTCTTCAATGCGTGCACTTATTCTTCTGTTGGTTTGTCCGATGTATGTGGTGGGACAAGTGGTGCATGGGATTTCGTATACTCCTTGATTTTCTAATTCAATTTTATCTTTGGGGTTTCTAAGGATGGTGGATATTTTTCTGTTTGTGCAGAATGCTGTTTTGATGTTGTGTTTATGGAGGATCTTACTGATTCTGTCTGTGATGCCTTTTATGTATGGGAGGATGGCTTTGCCGTTTTCTTGTTCTTTGTCTTGGATTTTAGTGGGGGTTTCTTTTTGGATTAGGTTTGTAATCTTATTTCTATGGAATCCATTGGATGTTAGTACATTGGTGAGAGTGTGTAGTTCGGGTTTTAGGTGTTGTTCGTCAGCTAAGCGTTTTGTTCTGGAGATGAGTGTCTTGGCTACAGAGTTGATCTGTGATGGGTGGTGGTGTGAGAGAGCGTGCAGATAGCGGTTTGTGTGTGTTTTCTTCTGGTAGATGGTGTGTCCTAGGGAGCCATTGGATTTCTTGTAGACTAAGACATCCAGGAAGGGAAGTTGGTTGTTAGCTTCTGTTTCCATGGTGAACTGTATTTTGGGGTGTAGGCTGTTGAGGTGTGTGAGGAAGTTGTCCAGTTTTTCTTTCCCATGTGGCCAGATTATGAAGGTGTCGTCTACGTATCTGAGCCAGAGTTTGGGTTTGTGATCCGATTTTTCTAGAGCTTGGGTTTCAAAGTGTTCCATGTAGAGGTTGGCAATGACAGGTGAGAGGGGTGATCCCATGGGTGCTCCTTCTGTTTGTTTGTATTTTTGTCCATTATAGATGAAGTATGTGTTGGATAGGCAGTGGTTGGTCAGATCTAAGATGTGTTTGGGGGGGTTATATTTGTTTTGGATAGCTGTCAAGGCTTCTTTGATAGGCACTTGGGTGAAGAGGGATATGACATCGAAGCTCACTAGTAGGTCGCTGGGCTGTAAGTTTTGTTTCTTTATGATCTCTATAAACTGGAATGAGTTTTTTACGTGTGAGGTGATGGATTCTGCATAGGGCTGTAGTTGTTTGGCGAGAAATTTGGCTAGGTTTTGTAGAGGTGAGCCTATGGAGCTGACTATAGGTCTGAGTGGGGTTCCTTCTTTGTGTATCTTGGGGAGACCATAGAGTTTGGGGCATCTGGATGATTTCTCTCTGGGAATGATTCTTTGCTGGATCTCTTCGCTAATGGGGGAGGCTTTTATTTTGGATCTGGTGGTTTTTTCCAGGTAGGTGGTGGGATCTGTATTTAGGGGTTTGTATGTGGAGTCTTGGAGTAGGTTGGTTAATTTGGTTTGGTAGTCAGATGTGTTCATAACCACCGTGGCGTTGCCCTTGTCTGCTGCATTCCAGTTTATAGAGTTTATAGTCGCCAAGACACTTCCAATTTTACGAGGGAGAAAACCCGAACAACCGAAGACCTACATACAAATACCCGCGAAAACCTCAGAAAACATATATATATATATATATATATATATATATATATATATATATATATATATATATATATATAGGTTTTTTTGTTAACAAAGAATAAAGAGAGAATGGTATAGCTATTTCGGGTTCCTTTAACCCTCATCAGCCAAACTTACTCTTCTGAGATTCGAACCTGGGCTATCTGCATGTTAGGCAGATGTTATAACCTCTAAGCCACGGGTTCTCTCCCACTTTGTTAGCTACCAGGAGAGAGACAGGGGGAGGAGATTTTTACCTTGAATGAACACCCTGTCAGCCCAGATATGGGAGAAAGAAATCTTCTTTCTTTTCTTTTCTTTTGCCTGTATCAGCTCAATCTAGAGCCATCCACAAGCAGCAGTCACTAACTGCGACATCATTTTACATTTTTAGGTTTTTTTGCTAACAAAGAATAAAGAGAGAATGGTATAGCTATTTCGGGTTCCTTTAACCCTCATCAGCCAAACTTACTCTTCTGAGATTCGAACCTGGGCTATCTGCATGTTAGGCAGATATTATAACCTCTAAGCCACGGGTTCTCTCTCACTTTGTTAGCTACCAGGAGAGAGACAGGGGGAGGAGATTTTTACCTTGAATGAACACCCTGTCAGCCCAGATATGGGAGAAAGAAATCTTCTTTCTTTTCTTTTCTTTTGCCTGTATCAGCTCAATCTAGAGCCATCCACAAGCAGCAGTCACTAACTGCGACATCATTTTACATTTTTAGGTTTTTTTGCTAACAAAGAATAAAGAGAGAATGGTATAGCTATTTCGGGTTCCTTTAACCCTCATCAGCCAAACTTACTCTTCTGAGATATATATATGTTTTCTGAGGTTTTCGCGGGTATTTGTATGTAGGTCTTTGGTTGTTCGGGTTTTCTCCCGCGTAAAATTGGAAGTGTCTTGGCGACGTTTCGACGAAGTCCCATTCGTCATCTTCAGGCTGGTGTTTTCAGCTTCGTGCTTTGAGCAGCAATGTGTGGTCTTAGCTGTTTCTTCCTTTTAACTGCCAGTGGGGGTATGAACTGATTGGGTGGGAGCTTGGCTGTGTTCTGATTGGGTGGAGGTGTGTTCTGAATGGTTAGGGGCTTGGCTGAAGAGATCCAGCAAAGAATCATTCCCAGAGAGAAATCATCCAGATGCCCCAAACTCTATGGTCTCCCCAAGATACACAAAGAAGGAACCCCACTCAGACCTATAGTCAGCTCCATAGGCTCACCTCTACAAAACCTAGCCAAATTTCTCGCCAAACAACTACAGCCCTATGCAGAATCCATCACCTCACATGTAAAAAACTCATTCCAGTTTATAGAGATCATAAAGAAACAAAACTTACAGCCCAGCGACCTACTAGTGAGCTTCGATGTCATATCCCTCTTCACCCAAGTGCCTATCAAAGAAGCCTTGACAGCTATTCAAAACAAATATAACCCCCCCAAACACATCTTAGATCTGACCAACCACTGCCTATCCAACACATACTTCATCTATAATGGACAAAAATACAAACAAACAGAAGGAGCACCCATGGGATCACCCCTCTCACCTGTCATTGCCAACCTCTACATGGAACACTTTGAAACCCAAGCTCTAGAAAAATCGGATCACAAACCCAAACTCTGGCTCAGATACGTAGACGACACCTTCATAATCTGGCCACATGGGAAAGAAAAACTGGACAACTTCCTCACACACCTCAACAGCCTACACCCCAAAATACAGTTCACCATGGAAACAGAAGCTAACAACCAACTTCCCTTCCTGGATGTCTTAGTCTACAAGAAATCCAATGGCTCCCTAGGACACACCATCTACCAGAAGAAAACACACACAAACCGCTATCTGCACGCTCTCTCACACCACCACCCATCACAGATCAACTCTGTAGCCAAGACACTCATCTCCAGAACAAAACGCTTAGCTGACGAACAACACCTAAAACCCGAACTACACACTCTCACCAATGTACTAACATCCAATGGATTCCATAGAAATAAGATTACAAACCTAATCCAAAAAGAAACCCCCACTAAAATCCAAGACAAAGAACAAGAAAACGGCAAAGCCCTCCTCCCATACATAAAAGGCACCACAGACAGAATCAGTAAGATCCTCCATAAACACAACATCAAAACAGCA